ATTTTTTGCCTCAATAGCATCTATCTATTGCTAAAGCTGTAAAGATGAGGAGTAGAACATAACACAAATACCATATTTTAGGTTTTAGCACATCTTTCCATCTTGGATAAAATCACCTCTGATTCCCACATTTCTAAAACAGGTCTGTGAAGCCCGACATTTAATCACCATGTGGTTTTAAAAATAGACCCCGTAGTCTAGCATTAGAATAATCAAGCACAAATTGAAATAGTTCATTATTATACTCACTCAGATTTTAATTATGTTCTGATTAACTTTGTTTTAATTTTAATTATTTTAAGAGCTTGTTATAAAACTATGATCTGTTTTTTAATTGACAATTTCTTCATTATGACTTTCAAAAATCTGAAAAATGTTGATAACTTCTATGTGTCCTCTTGGCAGGTGTATTAATATTCCCAGAGCTATACGCCAGCCTGATGAGGAAAAATCTCACAATGCAGACAGAGGAAAAGGTTATATTTGGAACTGGAGGAAGGAAGAGCAGCAGCTGCGATGTAAGATATCTGAAAATGGAAAATGCTCCCAGGGGTGACAGCGTTTAAATTATTTAGTTCTCCTTTAATATACCTCCGACGACAGCATTGTTGGGCCAAAGATCGCACCATATGTGGACTGCTGACGTCTGTGCGGCTCATGAAGCTAATGAAAGTGTCTGACGCCGTGAGCTTTGACCTTGCTTTAAGTCTTGGTCCAACCCTAAGCAGAGAGCAGCTCAGTGTAACATAATTCAAATATATTTATTTCTCTAGCAGAAAACAAAAATATTACTCACATTTCTTTTAACATTACTACACAAAAAGGGTCACACTACTAATAAAGATAATCACAGTTCTGGTCAGAGGTTTAGATGCATGCATCATGAGCATAAATTACATTAATATAATATTTTTAAAGATTTCTATAAGCTATATATGCTATAGCTATCAACAAGACCCAATCTTAAAGGTATAGTGGAGGATGTTCTTTTTCCGGGTGGATCATCAAAATAAGTGGTCAAATAATTGTCAATTATTCTGGTGATATGTTTAGATAACATACGTGCTCATTCCCAGTTAGCTATCTTACCAATGATGAGTCAGACATAGTGAAACATGGTGGGTCTTTTGAAAAGTTTCGCAGAAATTCTCCACTATACCTAATAATGGATTGGTATGTTACTATCCTTTCTGGATGATTTGTTACGGTTTTTGTTTGATTGTTTGGTTTACTGGTGCAGATCAAAGTTTGAAGCATAATCTGAAAGTTTAAAGTTGTTAATTAATATTACCTTAATCTATTTCAAAACCAGTGCTGATTTGTGTTGGGAGTAAACTTTGATTCCATTTGCTAGCTGTTGATTTAGTGAGATAAACATATATAAAAAACTATTTATTTTCTTCTGTTGTATGATTCTGCCACCACTATGCTTGACAGATGGTATGCTTGTCCTTGATTCTTCGAAACATATGTCTTGTCTTAGTAACTTTATGTCTCATTATTCGCCAGACAAAAAACCTGATTAAAATGAAGGTGGGCTTTACCATCTGGGTAAATGCAATTTTCAATCATCTTGTTATCTTGTTAGGATTAGGTGCGTCTTTTATGCACCATGTCCTCTTTGTGAAAAAATAGATAAACAAATAAAACAGTCTCCTCTTTGGATATTATCATAACCTGCATCAACAAAGAACTAGGAATAAATATTGCTGGATAACATTAAGCTTCTAGTAGGGCCCCCAGATTAATCTGTAACAAAAAATATGTAGAATTTCCTTAAATCTTACAGAAATAATCTTTATTTTTCCATAGTGGGGAAATTTCGAGTATTGAGTATGTAGCAGGAAAACAACCATTTTAGAGGAAGTCTAGTTGAGAAGATGGGTAAAGTTCCCACCAGACTTACACTAAAATTTAGATAGAGAGAAGTGAGTAACAAAAGTACAGCTTGCTGAGGGACATATTAGAATGAATGCATTAATATATCTGAAAATATCTATGTTGCACATGCATATTACACTGAATCGATAAGTATATTTAGTTTTGATTCCGTCTGGATCTGATAAATTGCTAAATAAATTTAAACTTGTGCAGAAAGTTGTGCAATGTATAGTCTAATTCCTGCAGTGAAAAAAGAATCATAACCCCATGCTAATACTACATTTATGTAAGCAGATGTAAACTTATGACCGGAACTGTTGCTATTTTTTGTTTCTGCATTTGTGGTTAATGCTTGTTGAATATAGATGGATTTAGATGTGTCTTTTGACTCAGTGATAATGGGGTGTGCTGTTTCATAAAACCACCTCCATGTGCCTCATAAACAACACATCCTGAGGGACCGGGGAGCCAATCACAGGTGAAAAATCACTGCAAGCATTGACAACTGGAGGTCCTAAAACATCAGGTGTTTGGATGAGTAATAAAATGATCAGTCTCTGTCTGGGAAGGAAAAAAACAATAATAACATAGTTCAAAGAAAGCAAAAACACTGCTTGCAAAGATTATCTCCATAAACTATCATGAAAGCCCTGCTGTCATTGGTGGTATGTTGGAGGTCTGATTTACCTGCTCCTTGCAGTGCTGAGAACATCACTGTTCTCATTAGAAGCTGCCTCTGTGCTGTCTCATAGCAACCTAAAAATAGAAATGTCCATATTAGGCTGTATGGCGGTGATGGCTGCTACAAGTTTTGCCCTTTTTAATTGTACTTTGTAAATATGCATAGGTGTGAAAACATACAGAGCACCTTGCAGAAGTTATCATGCATGCAGAATCGTTTCATGTTTAGCCATGTTAGAACCACAAGCTTTTTTTTCTCTTACTGAGACTGTATATGATACATGACCACAAGTACTATAATTGTGATCACATCTGATTTTCGATATTATATGACTTAAGCTTCTGTCTGATATTTGTAAAATCACCTTTCTTGAAATCAAAACTCAAAAAGATATTTCTGTATGGGCTTTGCACATTCACTACAGAGAGAGAAATTCTGGTTCATTCTATATTGCAAAGTGGTTTTCAGTTTGACTGCATCACTAACCCTTTTACATCCACTGCCCTGCTGGACCATTTACATCCACCCCAGTTTAAAGTCTTTCTGCAGATTAATCCCATGTTCAATTCCAGGACTTGCATCTCTCCTTCCTTCAACTCTGAAAAAATACTGTAACATGTACTTACTTTAGGAAACAATCCCCAAAGCAAGATGCTGCCAACACCTTTTTTTTTTTTAACTGTTGGGAAACTTTGTTCGAACTGGAATTAAATCTGCACTTTAGATGTTAACCATAAATTTCACCTTTTGTCTCATCTAATAAGAGCATTTTCTTCCATGTGTTTTCTGTGATAACTGATTTTCTACGTTTTTTTATATGCCTTATTAAAAAAAGTATTTAAGAAACATTATTTATAGTGTTTAAACACTTTACAGTACAGTATTTTATTTGTTTATTTTTTAACTCTTCACTAATATGTTACTCTTAGGCACTTTTCTAAGGTCCATATTGGTGGGACAATTTTTTCTATAATCTTTTTGCTGCCCTAAAATCGGAATTTCCCCATTGTGCTACAATAAAGGGATTTCTATTCTATTCTATTCTATTCTATTCTATTCTATTCTATTCTATTCTATTCTATCCTATCTTTCCCAGTCACCAGATTCTCTCCCATACCCACATGATCATCCTTTTTTTATTTATTTATTTATTTATTTATTTTTTTGTTCCAGATAGATGAAAATTAGCTGCTATATACATTTGGGGTATTTTTTATATTTTTTTTTAAATAACCTTATTTAAAAACCTTATTACTCCTTCAGAACTCCTTCAGAACTTGATTCCTGACCTGTCTGTTGTGTTTCTTGGTCTCCATAATGTTGTTTTTCTCCAATAAAGCTAAAATGAATCCAAATAAAAAACGCATTTACACCAGAGACATGGAAACCTTCTGAACTAGACAACAATGGATTGAGTTAGAGTTGGAGTTGAACTTTTAATTCAAATAAACTTAAATAGTAATTACTGAGGTCATTCACAAACTTGGCTTTTTACAATTTAGAATAAATTAGAAAATCCATTTATTGTCCCACAATGGGGAAATTGTGGTGTAAAAGATTATTGCCAAAGTGGTCACACTAATGTGGCCTCAAAAAAGTGTATAAAACAGAATAGTCAGAAGTAAAATAAATAAAATAATTCTGTGCTGTAAAGTGTTTTTACAATATAAATACTGTGCCCTGGAGAATAAATAACCAATATACAGCTGTGGACATTTTTACAGTAATGGATATGTGAAAATAGCAGCAACATCAGAAATGTGCAAAATGACAGCAGTATTTTATTTAACTTTATTTAAACACTTAAGTTTAATATATTATGCTTACTTAACATATACCTGAGTTTTTGTACCTCAGCATCATCAGTGTGATGATTTTGTTCTTAAAACCCCAACTTACATAATCACACACATGTAGTGAACAGAAAACATTTAAAAGATGATATAGAAATGTGTAATGTATCAAAACTGATGCAAATAAATGATGCAATTTAACGGATACAAAATTTATACTGCTATTTCATTTGTCAGAAAGTTCAATGACAATTTTATTTTGGAAAATTAGAATCTTCTGTCAGTTACTTCATGGTTCAGGCTTTAAAGGGTTATGCACAAATAAATCCCTATTAACTGGGGCATGAACTGATTATTTTGATATCTAGAAGCCACCACTTGTTTTCTTAAATGCTTCTCTGTTAATATTCATTTCCACAATAATAATCCTGATAAAATGGAAAGAAGAGGGTGTAGAACAAGCCTTGCAGTCTCCATAGGAGGAGGCGCTCGTTCTGTTTGCGTCCTGCAGATGTAAAGATCAGGACAGAGGTTTTTCATCAGACGCAGTTTATTTCGGGCGACTCTGACGTCAAGAGACAACACGTTTCATTCAACAAGCAAGAAACTAAGTTATTTATAACCCTCCGCATCTCCAGGTTGTGATCCTTGAGTGCGCAGTGAAAGGAATACTCCCCATTGGACTGATGTAGCGCGCCTCCGCAACAAAAAGCCACACAAGCTCGTCATCATTTGCTCATGGTGACAGATAGGGAAGGCGCACAGTAACCTAAACCAGGACGCATTTGATTGGGAGCTGCAGAATAAGAGCTAAAGTTTGTGTTTTGGATCATTTCTCCCTCCGCATGTACCATCCCTGTTTGATGGCACCGCGCTCTCTGAGCATGGAGAGACTCTTCTCTGAGCAGGTAAGCCTTAAGTTCATCCTTTAAATTGTTCCTTTGCAGAAAATATGGCAGATGGAGGTTGGAAAACTTTATGTTCTTGTCTTGTGTATTGGCTGGGTGGCATTAGGTTAACTTCTTAATGTTCACACTCAATGAGAAACGTGTTTCTGTTGGACCCAGATTAATATCTGAGCAATAATTTACATATAATTCAGGAATTAAGAGAATTATCCAATCAGCTGTTTCCGCTCTGACTGAACCCCCATTTAAAGCCACCAGATGTTTATGATTTGAATTTAAACACAGAAATAACTGCTTAAATTGTAGCCTCTGATAAAAATGTTAAGACATTCAAATATTTTATTTAAAGATGAATCATCTGCTTGTGATTTTTAGCAAATATAGATATAGATATTTAATGTCTTCATAAAAGATCAGTTTTGAAACGTTTTACTCTAAATTACATCACCTGGCTACACATCAGTTGTGTTTGAAACTTTAACTGCTTGTGTCTCCATGTTTTCCACCTTAGCGCACAGAGAAACTATATGTTCAATCAAATGATTTTCATTTGACTTATTAGTTAGCCTGCATAATATATTTACTGAAAGATATTTTCTATTATGAACTTATTTGTTTTGGTCTTTATGTTGTATTAGACTGCCACCTGCTGGTTGTTGAAAAGGAAAGCACCATATAAACAAACGAAGTAGTTAAATCTGCATTTTCTGGTGCATTTGCTTTGTTCTGCTCAAAGCACAGAATACAAGCGGAGGTAAACATGCTGATCAGGCAGATGTGAACAGCTGTATTTGTATTTTATATTTGGTCACAGTTGTTCTTTTCTAAACCATAGTCTAAGTGCTTAAAGTTATAAACAAATATTTTACTTTTGAGTTATTGTAATCAGAGGGTGGGTTTCTGAACTAATGACACATTGCTAAAATTTTAAATCTATTAACTGATTTTAAATAACAGCTTCATTCAAGTTGTAAAATTCAAAATCATAACACATGTGCTCTTCATATGGATTATGAATAAAAGGCCCTTTTTCAGAGGTAAAATTTAAGATCCTTCTTTTATCTCTGCTAGTAATGAATCAACACTCTTGTAATATTTATGAGCCCTGTCATTTATTATTCTGCATTTACATAAAAAGCAACAATCTGATTTTAAATACAGTTAATTTGGAAAAAGTTAAATGCCAAAATAAAAGGCAGGGCTTATTTAAACCAGGATGAATCCTATCCTGTATGGCACCCTTAACCGATTTTACTGTATATAAACTCCACCACAAAATGTTAGCTTTTATCCTTTTCCTTTTCTCCCAAAGCAAAATTACCTCCAACATTTAGCAGATGGTGATTTTCTCCCCAATCTGTATAATGCAAACATGTCAAATCTTAAAGATTGCAAATCTATTTGCTTTGGCTGTTTTTTAAATAAATCTACTGGAAAATACAAACATTTTTTTTTTTTCCTGAATTCATGTAGAAGTCATCATTTTCCTATAGGCAAACTCACTCAGTGCAGAGACACTGTTTGCTTGGACCAAGTATTTCAGAAACAGATCTGCCTTTCTATGCTGTTTTAAAATAAAAGATTTTAATAAGCTTAATATTGCAAACTATCCAGGGCGGCATAAGCTTGGGGGAGACGTTCAGCATGACAAAAAAAAATATCTAATCTCTGTCTACAAGCATTTTGTTGCTTATTTAGCAACTTAAATAGGTTCAATAAGAAACAGAGTTGATTACATGAATTGGTGTACAAAATGTATGCTACTGCTCTTTCATAAATCAGATATTTTAATCACAGCTTTCAGTTTAACTTGAATTAAAGGGCAACATATTTTTTTCAAAGATTTTTTCATACTGTCCTTACATTTTGAACAAACTTTTATAGTCATGTATATGCCTGTCTGAGTGGCAAAATATGCTTTATTAATTTCATATTTTCTTTAAAGATCTGTAAGCTGTAGGATCAAGAGGACCTGCAACAGGTTGGAGAAATGGCAGACATTCTGGAGCTGCGCACAGATGGGAACTCTCTCCTGAAGGCAGTGTGGCTCAGACGATTAAGACTCACCAGGCTTCTGCTGGAAGGAGGCGCATACATCAATGAGAGCAATGAGCGGGGAGAGACGCCACTCATGGTGGCCTGTATGTCGAGACACTCTGACCAGCAAAGCGTGAGCAAGTCAAAGCTTGTCAAATATCTATTGGACAACCAAGCGGACCCAAACATACAGGACAAGGCGGGCAGGACGGCTCTAATGCATGCCTGCATCCATAAAGCTGGGCACGAGGTGGTGGATCACCTGCTGAGCAACGGTGCTGATCCAAGTCTGGAGGACAGGAGTGGGGCCTCGGCTCTGGTCTATGCCATCAATGCAGATGATAAGGAGACATTAAAATTACTTTTGGATGCATGCAAAGCTAAAGGAAAAGAGGTCATTATAATAACGACAGACAAGTCACCATCTGGCACTAAAACCACCAAACAGTATCTAAATGTGCCCCCATCTCCAGAGCTGGTTGAGAGGTCGTCTCTAGAGTACTGCACCACTCCCTCTGACATCAGTATCACTGCGTCTCCTACATCTGAGCAAGAGGAACAAAACACTGTATTTAATTTCCAGACGAAGCTAAAAACGTCCGTCTCTGCAACAAAGCTCACAAATGGGCCCACATCTCCAACTCGCCGGCCGGTAAACCCGAAACGGGCGCGTTTGCCTCAGCTGAAGCGGCTGCAATCAGAGCCCTGGGGCCTGATTGCTCCCTCTGTCCTGGCTGCAGCTGCTGCCTATGAGGAGAGCAAGAAAGCCAGCTCTGATGAGGATGTAGTTGCTGGGGTGAACGGCCTCTCTCTGAATAGGAGAGCTGCTCTGTCCCGGCAGAGCAGCGTGGATGGGAAGGACAGCTTATTCCCGCTGGTGGGTGACCAGCCGTGCAAAATGACAACCTCCTTATCAGTCCCTCCAACTTCTAAGCCTTCATACGAGAGATCTCTGGGACAGCACCAGCCTCTGGCTCGGCGCAGTACTGTGCCCACAGAGCAGGAGAGCGGCAGCAGCTGCGGCAGCGGACAAGTCAGCCTCAGAGAGACGTTGCACAGAAGACGTCTAGGAAACGATCACTATGACTCAGACTCGCAGCTCTACTCAGACTCTGCCATGTTAGACTCTCCTAAAGTCCCAGTGGAGCGAAGGAAACTAAACACTTCTCCACTTGCAATGCTCACCAGTTCCAGAGAATCGCTTGACAGCAATGCAAGCACATCATCTCCAAGCACGGCACGAAGGCGCGCACCTGGACTCCTGGAAAGGAGGGGCTCCGGCACGCTACTGTTGGACTACATCTCGCACACTAGGCCTGGCCACCTGCCCCCCCTAAACGTCAACCCAAACCCACCCATTCCTGATATAGGGGCCAGTAACAAGCCCTCTTCACCTCTTTCAACAGGTATAAAATCCATAGCCCCAGTAGCACCAAACACACCAAAGACAGGAGGTCTAAAGACAAAGAAGAAACTTGTGAGAAGGCACTCTATGCAAGTGGAGCAGATGAGGCAGCTTTATGATTTTGAGGAGCCTCCTCATTAGTTAGTTATGGCGTTAATGCAGCAAATACCGGGGTAGTAAATATGAAAGCACCCTATAATACCAGGAAGTACATCCATAGCCTCAGCTGTTTCCACACACGGTTATCTAGATGTTGAAAAATGTATAATTTATTACAAATAAATCAACATAAATATATATCGAACAAGCAATATAGATATTTTTCCCTGTGTTACACTCAGCTTAAGGATCATCTTTGGACTTTACAACATCTCCTGTATATGTATTATTTTTGAATGTAAAGGCCAAGATGTGGTACCTTTGTTCTCAGAACCTCTTTTACATGATTGTGTAATATGTAGGCAACATACCAGGGTTAATTTGTAGCCAGCAGGCCACTTGGGTGCACTTTGTGCATAAAAAATGAGTGTCTTTAACGGAATTTTGGTGGACAAGACAAAGGAGTGATGCAGTTCTCTGAGATGTAGCTTTGCGAGGGTTGAAACCTGACTGTTTGTAGCAATTTTGTACAAAGTGCCTTCAAGAGAAAGAAACGAAAGAGAAATGAACATATATATTTATTATATGAAGGCAGTTTAATTTATGTTTACAAACTTTAAAAGGATATTTCACAATTTTGGAAGCGAGATTCTGCTGAAAGGGTAGAAGTAGTTATTATCTGACTAGCACCTGATAATTGTCGAGATGTCTTTGATTAGTGCGAATAGAGATTTTTCTGTTTAGATTTTCTTTAGCACTAGTTACCTTTCTTTAAATGTAGCCTGACAAGAAATGGGGTTGAGAGAAAGAGAAAGACGTGGCAAAGATCAACAGGCTGGGGCTCATATCCCCAATAGAGATGAATAAAAGGTAATGCTGGGAGAAGCTCTGCTGTAAGCAGGTGTCTTTATAAAACTCCAATTGTCCAAACATAATAAATGTTTATACAAATAATATTCTTGCCAACTATAAACTGCCATAAAGTCAGCATTTAGCAGTTATTTACAAAGAAGCTCATCTTCATTTACCAAAAAAAAAGGAAAAATCGAGTTTGGATGTGGTGCACCATCAGTTATGTCTTTAGGGATACTTTCTGGTTGGAGTAGTTGTGATAGAAAACAAGCAGTGTATTCTCATTATGAGTTCGTATGAAATCGTACGAAAAGTTATTCACCGTAATTTCGTACTTTTTGGACGTTTTTTTCGTCGTATGCGCATCTTACACCCCATTCAAGAACATGGAATATAAATTACAATTAGCCCTAACCCTGACCCTAACCCTAAGATATAAAACAGCAAACAACGTAGTCAGAGACATGAAGAAGTGATAATTGCACTGTTTTTCCCAGTTTTATGTCCGTCTGCGGATCTGCTTTTTTTTTCTGTCTACCAGCGCATGCGCACCGATCTGGTTTTTTGAGGAAAAACGTCCAAAACGTACGAAATAGTGTGCATAACTTTTCGTACGATTTCATACGAACT